GAGGGACAGGTGTCCAACACCCACAGGGTCCAGGCGGAGGGACAGATGTCCAGCACCCCCAGGCTCCAGGCGGAGGGACAGGTGTCCAGCACCCCAAGGCTCCAGGCGGAGGGACAGGTGTCCAGCACCCCCAGGCTCTAGGCGGAGGGACAGGTGTCCAGTACCCCCAGGCTCCAGGGGGAGGGACAGTTTTCCAGCACCCACAGGGTCCAGGCGGAGGGACAAGTGTCTAGCACCCCCAGGGTCCACGTGCAGGGACAGGTGTCTAGCACCCCCAGGGTCCACGTGCAGGGACAGGTGTCTAGCACCCCCAGGGACCACGTGCAGGGACAGGTGTCCAAGCTCCCATCTTCACTCTGCTCCAGGTGTAGTGTGCCTGGCCTGCGGTCTCGTGGCTGAGGTTTTAGTGGCAGACCTAGAATCAGAGCCTGGCCTTCTCAGCTCTGTCCAGCAGCTCCTTCACATAAGGAGCTTGGATTTTGGAACTAGGGAGACCTGCTTGGCATGAGCCTGGGCAAGCCTCTGTATCTCCTTGTAGCCTCCGTTTCCTCGTTCATCAGATGGGATAGTGATACCCGTTTTATAGGGTCACCCTGAGAAGTCACTCCTGGCCCCTCTTTCCCTCCCTCTACCTTGCTGAGAATCCCCTGGGGACCTGTTATACAGTCTTGATGCCCAGACAAGTCTGGATGCTTCTTGAGCAGCGATTCTTACCTGGGGCTGATTCCGCCCCAGGGGATGCCTGGTAACGTCAGGAGACATTTCTGTCACAACTGAGGGTAGGGGTGTTATTGGCATCTAGTGGGTGGAGGCCAGGGGTGCTGTGCAGGATGGCCCCTCACGACAGAGCGATCGGCCCACATGTCAACAGTGCCGAGGCTGAGACCTTCCTGGAGGTTCTGATTGCCTCAGATAGACGTGGAGCCCTAGAGCAGGGTAATTGTGTTGTCTTTAATTAGTGGTAAAACACACATAACAAAAATGTGCCAAAATAACCATTTTAATTGTACAGTTCAGTGGCATTTAGTGCATTCACAGTGTTGTGTGACAATTACCACTGTCTAGTTCCGGAACTTTTTCATCACTCCGAAAAGAACCCGCATCCCATTAACAGTCACTCCCCATTCCCCCTCCCCCAGCCCTTGGCCACCACTAATCTATTTTCTGTCTCTATGGATGTGCCTGTTCTGGATATTTCATTGTAAATGGAATCATGTACTATGTAGCCTTTTGTGTCTGGCTTCTTTCACTGAGCATAACATTCTCAAGGTCCATCCATGTTGTAGCGTATGTCAGGACTTCCTTCCTTTTTATGGCTGACTAATATTCCAGGCGATTCTGACCTGGGCTTGGATTTGAGGCCCCACTCTGTACCACGTGTGGACCCCTGAGCTAAAGCTGGGGGATGTCTAGCAGGTGGGGATTTGGCCGCCCTTAGGAGGCCTGTCTGTGGTGATGCTTTGGGAACCATATTGTTGCTTTCCAGATCCTTGCTCCACTCCGTTTAGTTTGGGGTCATCTGTCTGCTTAGAGCTGCTTAACAGGCGGTACACTGCTTCCTGGGCCTGCTCGGAGGACTGGTGTCATCAGAGAGGGGCCTCCCCCGCTAGGGATCCCCAGCGATCCCTATCACTCGCTCTTCTGGCCTATGTCAGTGCCACTAGGTGGGGGCTTTGTGCTGGAGCAGGATGGACATGAATGGGGTCCCTCCGTGCCTCCTGGGCACATGTGCTCCCCAGTTGTACTGGGGGCTGAGGGGGAGAAAGCCTGTGTCCAAGATGGGACGTGAGAGGTGTTACATGGAGGCCCACTGGTTCCCCGCCCAGCCGTGTGTGACGGGTTTCTGGGAGCTTTAAAAAAAAAGCAGATATGGATTCCGAAAGGGGCTGGGGCAGGCCCTGGCCTCTGCATTTTCCCAGGCATTTTGATGAGAGCCAGCTTTGGGCCCTGGCCGGTCCCTGAAGCACGTGTACTTGCTTCCCAGCTCTTTGAGCCAGTGCACGGTACTTGTCTCCCCCACCACACTGGAGACCCTGGAAGCAAAGACGGCGCTCCTCTGCTCCCTCCTGCCCCTGCGGCACCCGCATGGTGATGGGACTGGAAATCCTGGATTAATGGGCAGTTGTACTGGACCCTGTAGAGCAGGTGTTCCTAACCCAGCTGCAAATGAGGATGCCCTGGGAAGCTTTGGAACACCCTGATGCCCAGGCCGTACCCAGACTTATTGAACCCGAATTGCTGGGGGTGGGGCCCAGGAATGAGCAGTGTGAGAACTCCCCAGGGGTTTCCAGTGTGCAGCTGGGGTTGAGAACCACCGCAGTGAAGGGGACCAAAGGGAGAGAGGTGTGGTCCTTGTGTCTTGGGCAGAGAGGGCATCTGGGCTGAGGCCAGAGCACCGGCATCCGGTTTGGACCAGACACCCTGCAGGGGGCTCGGCTTTGAGGGCTTGCATTACCCCATAGCTGCTCCTGGAGCAAAGGCTCCTAGTTTAATTGGGAATTGGGTCCCCAGGAGGGGAGTCGGCAGGCTGGCTCATGGGATCCCTCTAGTGGCAGAACCTAAGAACTACATGTGGAGGCTGAGTGTGTCGCCCGGGATGGGGGAGGAGAAAGAGCAGCAGCCCCCCATCCCCCGCGCTGCCCCCGGGGGATCGGACAGTCCCCCAACCATTTTTTTATGTGGCAAGTAGTTTACAGAAGGGCTGAGTGGCTAAAAATGGCAGTGCCCATTCACGTGTTACCTGTGGGGCATAGCCAGGTAGGGCCTGGTCTTTAGATGGAGAGGCCACGTGCCGTACGCCCCAGCCCCCAGCACAGTGACGGCTGGAGATCCTGGACCAAATGAACATTTGAGGCCTGTTGGGGAATGGGTGGACCAGGAGAGCTGCTGCGCTGACTCGTCGTCACGGACCCTCAAATTACCTCCTGGCACTGAGGTCTGAGTTCTATGAGAGGGTTGGGTACTGTGGCTCTCCTCGTCCCCTACCTTCCGCAGTGTCAGAAGTCAGGGCTGGGGACTGGGAGACAGGTGAGGATGACCACCAGGCAGGATCAGTGGCCGGCCCATCATTTGTTTCTGTCCTGGAAGGTTCCTGATCTGCTCTAAGGAGCAGTTGGGGGAGGGTGTGATATAGCAGGACCCCTGTGTGGCCCCCCATGTGG